GGGCACACTTGAAAAATCACACGGAGGAGCTTGAAGGAGAAAACAATTTCAGTATGAGCTTAACCTGTCCTGGTCCCCAAAGAGCTGACTCTGGAGAAAAACCCTTTGAATGTTATGAATGTGGAAGAAGCTTCAGTAAGAGCTCAGCCCTTACTAGTCACCAAAGAATCCATACCGGGGAGAAACCTTATGAATGTGCAGAATGTGGAAAAAGCTTCAGTAAGAGCTCAACTCTTACTAACCATCAAAGAGTCCATACAGGTGAAAAACCATATAAATGTGTTGATTGTGGGAAATGCTTCAGTGAACGTTCAAAGCTTATTACTCATCAGAGAGTTCACACAGGAGAGAAACCGTATAAATGTCTGGAGTGTGGGAAAAACTTTCGTGACCGTTCCAACCTTATTACTCACCACAGAATTCACACAGGAGAGAAACCATATAGGTGTGGTGAATGTGGGAAATGTTTCAACCAGAGCTCAAGCCTTATTATTCACCAGAGAATCCATACTGGAGAGAAACCCTATAAATGTACTGAGTGTGGAAAAGACTTCAACAATAGTTCACACTTCAGTGCCCACCGGAGAACACACACTGGACGTAAAGTTATGTAGGAGAGAAAAACCAAGTGTTTATTTTAATTTTCAGGCATCATGTGATATACTTGCTAGAGAAGTACTTTTTTAAGCTTTAGGCTCAGTTAGTCCCAGGGAAACAATACTGGTGTAAAGCCAAGCAACTTGGATGTGAATTTGAAAACTCTTACAAGTTGAATATTAAAACACATTTCACAAAAACAATTTGCTTTTGTGTTGGCAACCCCCCTCCCACTTTGTCCCCCAAACACATATACCTTAGGCCAGCCTTACCTTGGCTAATGAAAAATGTTGAAACTAAGCAAGTTAACTTTGCAAGTCCAGACGTGAATTATTGGTTTAATACAGACAAGCCGTTAGCATGGGAACTTTCTCACTCATTTCAAGAATCGTGTATGGAATTGAAGCAATAAAAAAGCATTACCACATTATCATAGATTTCTGACTTTCAGCAAACTTAAACCACTTAACAGAAAACATTTCAACCTTATAAGGCAAATAGAGAATTTTTTTCCTTCTATTTAGAATGGGAAAATAAATGATTAAAACAGAAGTCTTGAATGTAGCTCAGACATTGTTAACACAACAACAGAATCCATAGAGGAGAAAAGCTTGTTAAATTTGGTGAAAACATAGCTTTTAGCCTGGTGGGAAACTGGGCTCAGTAGGGAGATGAGTCTGGGACTCGTTTCTGTGCTTGGTGCCATGCTAGCAAACCCCTGGCTGAGATATTATGGGGAGGTTCAGGGGTTTTTTGTTTGTTTTTTGCTTAGGCAGCTGGGGTTAAGTGACTTGCCCAGGGTCGCACAGCTAGTAAATGTCAAGTGTTTGGTCTGAGACTGGATTTGAACTCAAGTCCTCCTGACTCCAGGGCCGGTGCTCTATCCACTTTGCCACCTAGCTGCTCCTCGGTTTGTTTGTTTTTTAAACTGGTGGTGGGGGTGTTCCATGAATTCAGGTATTTCTACAAAGTATGGGGGAAATGCTGATGGTGATATTACCTCATATTCTCCATGCCAACTTGTTTTGGAATTCTGCCTAGGAATAAAAATAATGCCTAATGATTTTAATTATCTTAATAAAGTAGAATTTAGTCCTTGTGATTGTCTTAATATTATTAAGACACAGAGGAGTAGTTGGTGGAAGATCGCATTGATATGTTGTGTGCAGATGGATTTCTCCATTCCCATTCTTCAGCCTTGCTAAGAGAGGACTGTTTCTTCAGTACTAATTGAAATCTGGTGGAATCTTTATGGTCTGAACCACGCTGGAAATGAAAAAGCTTATTTATGTGATGGAAAATATGGAGTACCATCATTCAAAGTTTAGCGTGACTCAGTTGCCTTCCAAAATAACTGCTGATGGAACCAATAGGGCAGAGGAAGCAGGCCATTTATCAGACAACGAGTTTGAAATCGCTAGTGTACATTAAAGGGAGTGTGAACCTTTTTCTTGGTTCCTGAGCAATGCCATTCTAAGAATTTCTAATTCTTCTGGGGTCTCAAGAAAGCTTGGGATGTTCGGGGACCTTCATATAGGTACTGTACCTGGGACATGGACACTGAGATGTCATTGCAGATTTCTAGCGCCAGTGACTCACTTTGTCTTAGCCTTCAGTAGTTGCTGGAGAGTTCTGGCAAATTGAGATGTTTACAGACACCACTGTGCCCTCACCCAGTTAGCTCTTCACACAGAATAGTCTAGAGGTCTCAGGAGATCTGGTGCTAGGAACTCAAATAACTCTAAAAGTCTAAAGCTCCATTGCCAGTTTTTGGAAAATAATTGACATGTTTTTAAAATATTTCTTAAAACTCATAGCTTTTTAAAAAAAAGTTTTAACATTTTCCATTAATAAAAGAAAATGATTATTTTCACATTGAATGTGGTTAATAATCCCACATCTTTAGGAGTTGGTAACAAGTGAATTTCAGTGACTATTTGCTTTGCTAATTTAAAAAAATGAAAAAGCTTCAGTTTGCTTAACAGATTAAGGTGGTAATCCTCTAGCCCCTGGCTACATATATTAACTTGGAAACAAAAAGGAAAAACCCCATGTAATTTTTGAGAGTCAGGAGTTTCTTACTCTTAAAAAAATCAGCTAGTTCTGGTCAAAAGAACAAAGCATATACACCCACTTCATCTCCCCTCGGTCGCAAGCCTTTTTAGTGCTCCTGTAGGTAGCTGATGTGGAACCTGATGGAGGTACCACCCATAGCATGGGAAGAAGGGTGAGTAGAAACTGCTAGCTTCCAGCAATTCCCCAACTCCTTTCCTTCTTGTGCCACTGCTTCATCTTCCTGATTGAGAGACCATCCTGGAATAATTTCATTCCTGGCACCTATAGGAAATGGTGTGTGAGTCCAAGGTTTGAGATTGCTCTGATAGAATAGTTGTTAATGGTACCTCTCCCCATCAGCATTCCTCAGAGCCTCCATCCTTTCCAGATACTGACTTGAGTGGCTTCTCCTTTTAAGAGCATGGTCACAGATTCCTCTGCCCCCTCCTGCCTTTATGTACCTGACTCACAGAGTAGGAGAGAAACATGGCTCATTCTGGGCTCTGTGCCCTTGCAGAGGGAGGACAACAATAATCTGGATGAATGATGGTGATACAGGAAGTGAACAGATAGTTAAGAAGATGGTTTCTGGGACTGGGATTTGGATTTCTTGGCCATGGCTTAAAATTTAAGAAAGCCAGGCTCCTGGCCAGAGATGGACCTAACAAGGGCTATAAAGAATGTATTTGTCTGGTTCCTTTACAAATCGAATCAAAAGGTCTTTTAAACTGAAAGGGAAAGGGGAAGAAGAAACTGTGACAATGTAAGAATAATTGCAGTTGAGACCCCGGAAGATCAGAGGAGACAAAGTCTAAGAAAGGAGCCGATAATTACCCCAAGCTTAGCTCAGTCACACTGAAAAGCAAAAACACACACTGGATTTCATCATGAAGCACCTCTCTACCCAAGACCTGCCATGGGACTCACACTTGGGCTTTCCTCTTCACATACATTTAAAAGCCCACTGGTTCCTGTGGGATTGACCTGTTTTCTAGTTATCTGCCAGGAGCTGAGGAGGAGGCACCCAATACTTTATGTTCCTTACATATTTTGTGTAGCACCTGGGGGCCCCCAACTCACAGATATGTCCCCAAGGGAATGACAACTCCAGTTTCAAGGTACTTTGTGGATTCATATCTCCTAAAACCGTAGCTCACAAACCCCTATCCATGTGTTTATCTTTAGTAGTCAGCCAGCGGACACAGTTAAAAGAAAAGCATTTAATGAAATGGTGTAGTAAGAAAAGTAGCAATAAAACATTTCTCCCATAAATCTAGGGCCCCTCCCACAAATAGTATCAGTGAGAAGAATGAACACAGATGGAGAGGTATATGTATAGGGATCATGGTGACCAGGGCACATGTGTAGAAGAGTACCTGACATGTGTGATCAGGGGATACTTATCAAGGGGCATATAAATAGGAAACATGTATGTTCAGGGTACACATATGGAGAAATCCACACCTGGAGAACATACAGCTAGGTCATATATATAGAGGAGCAACTCATGCTGCTGCTGCTATCTTTTAGTGCATGTGAACAAGATGGCAGACTGGACATTGTCTCCAACACCAAAGATATCAAGAATGGGGGAAAGTTTCTATTGGCAGCAGGTCACAATGGAGATGACAATGGAGATGGTGGGGGGGGGTACAGCAGAAGAACATAGGTCTGTAGACCAAGTTGGATAGGAGTAAGTGTGGGTTAGATGTTTTAAGCTAGGTAAGCTATGGTTTGAATCACTTCCATTTCTGTCTGTATCCCCAATACATTTGTTGTACTGAATTGAATCACACAGATTGGAGGGGCAGGATATTGGGATTTACTAGACATGGTAGGGGAGGGGGATATAGGTAGGGAAAACCTTATTTGACTAAATGGACCTTAAGGTTCCAAGTAGAATGTTGATGTCATCAGCCTTTGCTGATGATTAAAGCAAGAGTGGGATTCTATCTTGTGGAGGTTAGATGGGCTTTGACTATGGAAGAAAAGGTGAAGAATTTCTACCTTGGAGGTTATTGAGTCCCACCTCCTGATGTTGCAGATAAGGAAACGTGGCTTATGGCGTTTGGTGACATGTCCAAATTTACAAAGGGGGAGGCAGGATTTGGACCTAGGTCCTCTGACTCCAGTGTTCCACATTACATCATTCATGCATTAGTGATGTAAAAGCCTGTCAGAAATTTTAAGACACTGTTGGCAATTTACAAATGTTGCCAATGTTGCCTTGGAGAGATGTGAGCTTGACTTGAAAGGAAAATTCCAGATGGTACAGCTGTAAAAACACTGTAGAAATTTGGGTATTATGTAAGATGGACTTCCTCCCTCCCTCAAACATACTTGGAATCATCAGATCATAGATTTAGAAGCTGGAAGAGACCTTAGAAGTAAGAGATGGAGGCTTGCCAACCAAAGTGTTTAGATCTTAGGACCAGCATTATCAGCATTCTTACAATTTTCTCATAACCATCCAAATGCTATCTAAATTCTTCACCCTATAATTGTCATCATCCAGAACCACATAGAGCAATAAATTCAATTTTATTAATATAACAAAAGGAACACGCAGTACATTCACCATGGTCTAAGGCATTCTTTGAGGTTAACATGAGAAAGCGGAAGTGAGTTTCACTTTCTACATTTCCCATATCCAGGGTTAAGATACTTCTTGATACATTCAGTCAGACCAAACTCTGAAGTTCCATTTATTAACCTACATTTGTCCTTATAAGCCCAGTGCTGCTATCATCAGAAAACTCCAAGTAAAAAGACCTGGCAGCATTAGAGGAGAGAGAGAGAGAAAAAGAGGGGGAGAGAGAGAGACAGAGAGAACCTGCGTATATTCTTAACCAGTTCTTCCACATTTTATAAGTACTCTTTCATACTGAGAAAAATACTCAGAATTCCTAAATCATCCCTCTTGTTCTTTCCTGACCCCCCCTGATACTCTGAATCCCAAAGTTTAATGGTTCTATCCCAGTGGTAATGAAATACTTTTCTGGGATGGAGGCACTGATAAAACCCGAGGTAAGAGGAAAGGAGACTTCCAGACTTGGAAGGCTCCCTTTCTGGGTGAAAGTACAAAAGAACAAATCATGTTTGGGATGATCAGGATTACTTTCCCCATTTTATCAACGGTAAAACTGAGGCACATGGGAAGGGGGAACGGCATGCATCGAGGTAAAGGCACAGCTGGGGAAGGGGACCTGGATATTCCCAATTTCAGATCCCATCTGGTGAGTTGAGCTTCAGACACTAAAGACCCTCTCCCAAAGTGGAGATCACTGAGTACTGGGAGTAAAAGAACCTCGAACAGCATATTGGCCATCTCTTACATTTATAGATTTCTGGGCTCCAAGAGAGGAAATGATTGGCCTAAGGTCGATTAGTTGTGGCAGAGCTGGGATTAGAACCCAGGTCTGACTTCCAACACAGCACTCTTCCCACTCCATCAGAGCTCAGCACTGTTCCTGAACAAAACCAGGGTAGCTCAGAAGCAGCCCTCTCTGTTGGAAGGTCTCCCCAAATCCAGTCCGTTTACAGAACTCTTCCCACACAGGCTTCCCGCTGGAGAGTCGAGCCTGGGCAGCAGAGGAAGCTTTTCTCTCATGTGGACTCGCTGGTGTCTGTGGAGGGCAGAGCCCTTACTGTAGCTCTTCCCACACTCGGGGCACTCATGAGGCTTCTCGCCCGTGTGGGTCCGCCAATGGGCGCTGAAATGTGAGCTGTTGCTGAAGCCTTTCCCACATTCACTACACTTGTAGGGCTTCTCCCCTGTGTGTATCCTCTGGTGCACAACCAGGCTGGGGCTGAGCCTGAAGCTTTTTCCACATTCCAGACACTTATAGGGCTTCTCTCCTGTGTGGATTCTCCGGTGGGCAGTGAGGCCTGCCCCATCACTGAAGCTTTTTCCACATTCCAGACACTTATAGGGCTTCTCTCCTGTGTGGATTCGCAGGTGGGTATTGAGGTGTGACCGCCAACTGAAGCTTTTTCCACATTCCAGACACTTATAGGGTTTTTCCCCTGTATGTATTCTCTGGTGCATGGCCAGGTGTGACCGCCAACTGAAACTTTTCTCACATTCGAGGCATTTGTATGGCTTTCCTTCTGCAGAGGATCCTTTCTGAGTGGCGGGATTTTGTAAATCCTCTTTGGCAGTCAGTTTTCCTTGTCTTTCTCTGAGGTCTGTCTCCCATGGACTCTCTGGTTTGTACTCATTTTCAGAGTTTTTCCCCCAGTGAAGAAGCTGAGTTACATCTCCTTCTGTTTCCTGGGGTTGCCTTTTCTCAGAAATGCCCTGTTTTTGAGCCTCTTCCTTATTCTCACTCTGGATCCTCAACTCTGGGAAAAACAACAACAACAAAACTGGATGATTTCAACCAACCCAATTAGGGAAGATAATTGAGGGCTAGGTAATATTCAATCCCACCTTTCAACTAGATTCATAAAACTTACCCGTCTTCCCCTGCAAGTAAGGATCTGATGGTAAAACAGCCACTTTGCACGTGAGGACAGAAGTGCATGGAAAGAGACGTGCTCAAAGTCTGGTCGTTTCAGGCTATCCTCACTGTCCTCCTCCTGCTACACATTGCTCCTTGTCACCTCCAGACCTTTGCTCATGTTCTTCTGGCCTGAGTGCTCTGCCTAGCCAAATTCCCCTTTACCATTCCATCCTTTGAGGTCTAGCTCCAACAGTACCATGATTATTATCAGTCTGCAATCATGATAGATACAAACCTTTGTAGCTGGCCAGGTGCTCTACCCACACTTATCTGAGCCCTACAGTAATCCTGGGAGGTAGGGACTGCACACGTTATTACCCTCCTTTTCCAGCCGAGGCTCAGGGCGGTTAAGTTACTTGCCTATGGTGACAGGTCAGCATTCTAGCCACCATGCTGCCTTTTTTGTTCATCAGGTCTCACTGCTGACAATTTGAGGCCTCATTCACTTTCTTGTGCTCCAAATTCTCGTAGCATTTTTATTAGATAGCACACAAGTTATCACTTTAGCTACAGTCATGGAATGAAGGAATTTTCTACTCGGAATGTACAGGTATGGAGGCTGAGGCCCCAGGTGGTCACGTAACTAGATAGTGGCAGAGCTGGGACCTTGGTGGGCTAATTCTTATTCTCCCAATTATGTTTTCTATTGTTTCATATTTTCCAGTTTTCCTCAACTAGGTTGTTAGTTCCTTGAGAGAAGTGACCATGTTATATACCCTTTCACAGGATATTATTCACAGTGCCTTACTCAGTGCTAAGCAAATAACAAACCAAAAAATTACACATGCATTGATTAATGTAGCTAATCAGTTTCAGCATATGGATGGAAATGAACCCAAATCTCTGGCTTTCTTGTCTAATGTACTTGCTGCCAAACCAGAAAGCTCCCCTGGCTTGGATAAAGCCCATGAGTTAAGGTGGGGGGTGGCAATGACAGGGGGAAGGCCACATTCCAGTGAAAAATGAGACTGGTCTTACCAGCTGAGACTTGGACTAAAGCAGGAACCCCAGGACTCTTGGCTTCTCTGATGGCTGCTTCATCACTGTCACAATCTTCCAGTGCCTCCTCACTGTGCCAACTGTCCTGCTCCTGCTCTTCAGGGTCAGCGTCGCTGCCTGCCTGCCCCGGGTGGGGTGCCACCTCCTTCAGGATGCTGGCGGCTGCTACGGCTGTGTGGGCATTCACTAGGGCATCCATCTCATCATAGAAAGCACAGGTCTCAGGGGCGCGGCCGCTCCCCGCCTTCCTGTAGCTTGTCTGGAGGCTGTTGAACTTCGTCCGGCACTGCTCCAGCGTCCGCAGGAAGCCCCTCTCACACAGGCGCTCAGCAATGGCCCGATACACCTGCTGGTTGGGGTGGCGAGTCCGGAGCTTTTCATAAAACTGAGATTCACTGAGGATTGCCAGAAAAGCCTTGGTTTCCTCATAGCCCCAGTGCACACCTGACACAGGAAGAAAGAATGTCGAGCTGTCATTAAGGGGCAACGTACAGGACTAAAGTTTTCCATCGTGCTCTGTTCCCTCCTTAGCCCTTTAACACTCTCCCGTGTTCTGGTTATCTTTGTGTGCCTGACCCACCCTCTTAGGTGGGGAGCTCTCTGAAGGCAAATAGGGACCTTGTCTTACTTATCTTAGTGTCCCCAGGAGCCCGGGCTAGAGGGAACTTCGCACAGCAGGTATTCAATTCCTACTTGATGAACAAATCATTGACTAAATGACTTTGGTAACAGCATCGACAAAGGACCCAAGTGCTAGCAGGTAAGCAGGGCTTCTGGCACGTGACTGCTGTCTCATAAAGTTGTTCTATGGATTGAAAGATGATGAGTCCAAAGGACCTTGGCTGGGCCACAACAAATGCACAGTGAATGGCTGACCCAAGCTCTGTGTTCATGAGAGGCTTCTCTGCTTCCCTCCCCAGGAAGCTGGCCAGCTATTTACATGGGGAAGGACCTGGAGGAGCTGAGAAAGGAAAGGGAGCATGTAGCTGTCAGGCCCCATCTGCCATGCTCTGGATTCTCTGGGCCCTTTGATACACGTTCCCTTTTTTCTATGCTTTGTTTTTCCTTTTTACAGCTCACAGTGATCTCTCTGAGGTAAGGATCTGTCACACTGCCCAGTGGGGGTCCAGTTCTACAGGTCATCAGTAATAATTAGCCTTCCTCTGTGAGACCAGCTATCCTATCAATAAGATTAAACTACCTTTTGGTGGTAGACATTCCATAGTTCCACATTTCTCTGGGGTAAATGGAGGCACAGGGCTTGGGTTAAAAATTGGGTGGGGTTACCTGTACCAACAATTGTATGACAAAGAAAAGTGGTCCAGGCAGAACCCCACACTTGACGCCAAGGTGAGGAGGCTCTGCCAGCTCTTCAGGTGGGGGTGGGGTGCAGACTGCAGATGGTTAAACTCTTCCAGCAAAGATTCAGTGAGCCCCCAGGACTCTCTTGGAGTAGGTCCAGCACCTGCAAGGGTCCTAGCCCAGGTCAAAAGTGAACGCCCTTTATTTTCCTCATGATACCCTCTTTCCACCTTTGAGTCTGGGGTGGATCTAAGGGATTCTCACAGTTTGCTCTGAACATCCCAGCCCTAGTAGAAGCCTCACCCTAACACTGAGCCACCCTAAGGACTGGCACCATATTGAAAGGGGCACCTGCTATACTACTACTTCAGTTCCCACAGAGTGTGGGAAAATCAGGGGAGTGACAACAATAATGATGATGATAATGAATAACCATGATTATCCTGGGGAGAGGAGCTCACTGGTCAGGTCTGCCTACTGAACCGAGGCCCCTGATTTCCACCACGCTCCCACAGCAGGAGTGCAGACTCTCAGAGTGAGAAGAGATCATCTAGCCCTGTCTCTGCTTCAACAGGAGTCTCCTCTACCATGTATCAGACAAGTGATTATCTAGTCTTTGCCTGAAGATCTCCATGGAGGGGAAATCTGTGACCCCAAGGACCGGCCCATTCCACTTAGCTCACTGCCAGAAGTTTTTCCTTATATCAAGCCTAAATCTGCCTCTTGGAAACTTTATCCGTTGCTCCTGGTTCTGTCCTCTGGGACCAAGCAGGGCAAGTGTAATCCCTTTCACCTGTAACAGCCCTTTAAGGACTTAAAGAGAGATGCCATATCCACCCTGCCTTGTCTTCTCTGGGCTAAATGTGCCAGTTTCTTCATTCAGTTCTTTTGGGCCTTTCTCTGGCCAGGCTGCCTTCCTCTGAACACATTCCACCTCATCAGTGTCCTTCCTGAAAGGTGGTGCCCAGAAACGAACGCAGTACTCAAAATGTTGTCGTGACACTGGGCCTATTGCCATCCTAGCACTGGACACCATGCTTTGCTTAATTTGGGCTAAGAATGCATTAGTTCTCCTGGCTATCATATCACACTCTTTACTCACATTTAACTTGTAGCCCAATGGGAACCCCCAGATCTCTGTCAGATAAATGGTGTCTAGTCACTCATTCTCCATCTTATGCATACTTAAGAAGTTGATTTTTGGAACCTACATACAAATTTATATTTGCCCCTATTAGACTTTATGTTATTAGATCTGGCCTAATGTTCTAACTTATTAAGACCTTTGAAAATCCTGTCATTCAGTCTGTTACCTATCTAGTCACTGCTTTCTCTAGAACCTTTCTTACGTTCTTCTAACACGGCATTTCCTTAACTTTGTAAAATTCCTCTAGAGGTATGGGAGAGCAATTCACAGTTTCCAATAGGGTTAGAACCCCACGCCAGTACTCTATGCCCTAGATAATTCTGCATTCCTTTTTAGAGGAGGTGTCCAGGCCTAAAGAGATCCGTACCTGTTCGACTCTGGAAAAGGGCTGCAGCCCTGGGACGTTTGGACTCCTGGGTGAACACCTTCCTTTCACCGTCTTTGGCTGTGGCCCCCTTTCCAGTGTTCCTTCGTTGCCAGTCCTCTGGCTCCTGTCCCTGGGAGTTGGAGTCTCCAGCTGTCCTCCCTAGTGGACAGATGATCCCCTTCATAGTGTAAGTTGGTTTAATGGCAGCCCGGGAATGCATCAGGGCTGCTATTTCTTTGTAGAAGGGACAGGTCCCTGGGGGGTGGCTGGTTCTTGCTTTCCGGTAGCTGGTCTGGAGGTTTTTGAATCTGTACCGACACTGCTCCAGCGTCCGGAGGAAGCCGTGCTCCTGCAGCCGCTCGGCGATGGCGCGGTAGACTTGGCTGTTTCTGTGACAGGTCCGGAGTTTTTCAGAAAATGAAGTCTCACTGAGAATTGCCAGAAAGATCTTGGTTTCTTCATAGCCCCAGTGTACCCCTGCATATTTCTCGTCCTCTGCACTGCCCAGGTCTTGGTACCCCTGGCCTTTTACTTCCTTCTTTGCTGGAGCCTGACAAGGTTTTCCTTGTTCCTCACTGGAGTGTGAATCTTTGCTGCTCTCTCTTTCCTCCAGTCTATGGAGATCTGAGTTCCATGAGCCTTTCCCCGACTTCCCTCGATGGGCCACTTTGGATTTGGGATCTGGAGAGGCCAACAGGGGAGGAATAAAAAGCAGACATAATAACTTGCATTGGTAAGCAATTCAATTAAACAAACATCTATTAAGTGTCTACTGTATGCAAGGTTGCCTGTCCCAGAGATTATCTGGTATTTTTTTTTTAAACTCAATCCTAGCTGATTTAACAATTTAGAGAAAATGAAAAGATAACAGTTCAAGGGTAGACAGAAACTTAGAACAATTTGCACTCTGGGCTGTGCAAAGACTATGGCTTCCCTGGAGAAGAGCTCTACAAATTCTATTTGTGTTGAGTGTAAAAGGGCCTTGGGAGGCCTGAGCTATGAGTTGGTATAGTAGGGATTTAGGGGTCTCACCTCTAAGAGCTTGTACCCTCTCCCCTACCAAAATTCTACCAATCCTTGTTTTTTTTTTTTGGTTTTTTTTTTTTGTGAGGCAATTGGGGTTAAGTGATTTGTCTAGGGTCACACAGCTAGTAAGTATCATGTGTCTGAGGCCAGATTTGAACTTAGGTCCTCCTGACTCCAGGGCCAGCGCTCTATCCCCTGCGCCACCTAGCTGCCCCTCTACCCATCCTTTAATGTCTTTCAAAAGGCCTTTGGGCCTTGATCATTCTGATGGACACTTAGCTCTCTCCCCTTGTCCCCAATCCTCCCCTACTGCTTACGTGACACAGACTGCACTCCTCTACCGGACATTCAAGGCAGTCTACATGATCTTTCCCAGGGCCTCATCTCACACTACTTATACTTCTTCCCTTTATGTTTAATCCACACTTCAGCTGATCCCTCAAAAATATCCCAGGGTTTCCTACCTTCATGCTTTTGTTATATCTACCCCCTACCCCAGTCTATTGACATATGACTCATTCTTCAAATGACATCTCATCCAGGAAACCTTTCCTGATTTTCTCCAGTTCAAAGCAATTTCTCCTTGTAACTTTATGACTTCTTCTATGCATTTATCATCTTCTATATTATATCATCATTTGTAATAGGTTGGTAAGACATGTATGAGAGTCACATAGGATGGGCAGGCATGGATGGATTGTGATATGCGTTGCTGGAGGGAGCACCTACATCGATGAAATCACAGAACCCCTGGAGTATTATATTTATTGGTCTGCCAAAAGATACATGACAGTGCCTTCTGAGGGGTCACAGTGGCTAGCATACTGGTTAAAAAGACCTGAGTTTAACTCCTACCTCAGACACATACTGGCTACATGACCCTGGGCAAGTCACTTAACCTCTGTCTGCCTCAGTTTACTTATAATGGGGATAACAATAGAACTTCCCTTACAGGCTTGTTGTGAGATAACATGTAAATTGCTTTGCAAACCTTAAAGTGCTATATAAATGCTAGCTATCATGACTATCATGATCTTCTAGTCTCTCGGGTACACGTGGCTAGGACACCTGACAGTAATCCCATTTCTCCCACAAGACTGCAAACTCCCTGATAGCAATGACCCTGTCATGCAGAATCGTAGCATTAGAGAGCCAGAAAGGACTACTGAGGTCCGCCCTCATCATTTTATAGAAGAAAGTGAGACCCAGACAAACAAGAGGGATTTGCTGAAAGTCACATGGTCTAGACCTCAGGTTTCCTGATTCCTAAGCCAGCGTTCTTTGCATTACATTATTCCTGCCTATCTTCTTCTTTTAAGAACTTTTGTTTGCTTATTATCCAGAATAAGCTCATTCCTGGCCACCCTGGTTAATGAAATTAAACTAGGAGCTCTTTTACAAACACACACACTGCAATTGGAGTTGACTCTGGGTAAGGGGTATGGCTGATTGAGGTAAACATGCAGGACTGATTTGGGGGGATATCTGTACTGTGAGAGGCACCATGTGGAAGGTGGTGGGCAAAGAAGACTGCCTGGAAACTGGTTCTCGTATTCATTAGGGCACGGACTATCTATTGCCTCTTTTTGTGTCAGGGATTGGCACAGGGTAGGTGCTTTTAAAATGTTTATTGATTGATTGATAAGTCAGCACCTAAAGATCTGACAACAATATGCATACTTTCCTCTCCCACTGGCATGCTGTCTTTTATGATAGTTCCAAGAATCTGAGAATATTTGCACTGGAGAATGCCAGCAGGGGCAGGGAACCTGTGGTCTTGAGGCCACGTGTGGCCCTCTAGGTCCTCAAGTGCGGCCCTCTGACTGAATCCAAAGTTTTGAGACCTGGAGGGCCACATGTGGCCTCAAGACCGCAGGTTCCCCACCCCTGCTAGAGATAATCTGGTCTAAGCTCCTCACTTCACCTATGCAAAAACCGAGGCCAGGGAAATAGTGATTTGTCCAAGGTGACCCAGCGAGTTAGTCACAGTGATCAGAACTCAGGCTTCTTAACGCTCCATCCATCTGCTGTCCTGTCCACTCAACCACGTCATCTCCACAAATGCTTCTTTTTCCTTTCTCCTTCATGACTGCACCCAAATGTTCACTTAATGAAGTTATACTTGCATAGAGGGGTTGGAGCTGGAAGGGGGCAGTAGGAGCTGCCTCATGTTGTGCACTATGACCTCTAAAGCTTGAGGGAAGGGTTAGGCCCAAGAAGAAGAGACACAAACCCAACTTGATGCATAAAAACCAGCTTGACTCTAGGGTCTTTTGGTTCCATTTTCTGCAGTGTGAAGTCCTGGGGATAAGCTGAACAGGATGCCCTTTACAAAGCCTCTCACCATAGACTAATGGACAAGATGGAAAGTCAGGTCGACTTGGAACTTACTGAACAACTAGAACAGAAGAACGTTGGTTAGGGAGTCAGTGCGAAGCTGGAATGGGGTCCCTAGAGCCTTGCCTAAGGCTGTGACCTTGGTCTAGCCTTGACCAATGCTTTTTATCAATGATTTAGATAAAGGTATAAATGGTTATAGAGGACAGGAAGCCGAAAGGCATAGCTAATACATGATGGAATTGGACTCCCCAAAAATCTGAAAAATAGCCTGGGAAAATGGCCCAGTCTAATAAGATTCTATTCATTCCTGTCATATTTCAAGTCTTCAGAAAAAAAAAATAAGGTCAAATGAACAAGTTGAGGATGAAGACAGGGCTGGACAGTTCATGTTAAAAAGACCCAGAGGTTTGATGGAAGTTTGCCAGCCTAATGCCACTCAATGGCACGCAGTATGTTTCCAGTCTAAGTGGTAGCTAAAATAATTGAAAAATCAAGTGATATTAGGAACCAACCTAGTATAGGATAAAGCATATTAATAAGCATAGACTTGCATGTAAGAACTGACATGAAAGCTATCAACCAGGAAATAGAAGATCAGAAAGAGATGTGGGCCAGTCATGTAGTTGGAGATGGTGAAGGGACAGCCTGAGAGAGAACTGCACTATCTCCATGGAGGAGTCCAGTGTATTGGGTACATCTTTGATGGAATATTTATGAGACAACAAGGACAAGAATCACAAAGGATGGGAAGGGATGGATATGTGGCATTACAAACCATCAAAGATAGGACCCAAATCAATAAGATCATGAGACTTAGCAGCATAAATAGAAATAAGGCATCTAGGATAAGGAAGGAGAAAGTCGCACTGTATTCTTTTGTAGAAGGAATTCGTGTTTAAGTAAAGGTAGGACTGGATGACCTTTGAGGTCCCTTCCAGGTCTGGTATTCTATGATTCTGTACTGATCACACCACATGTGTGACATATTACATGTTATACTGTGACTAGGTTGAAGGAATTAGGGATGTTTCACTTGGAGAAGACCTGAGGATGAGGTGAGGGGATGGGGGAAGAAAGACAGACTTGTTCTGCTTGGCTTCTGAGTGACCATAACAAATTACAAGGAGGCATAATTTGGCTTAATAGAAGGAAGAAATTATTGACTATTAAAATGGTTCAAGAATGGAATGAGTTGTTTGGGGAAGTAGTAAGGTTCAATCATGAAAGGTATTCAAGAAGAGGATGGATAACCTTGGTGATATTGTAGGGGAGATTCATGCTTTGGACAGGATCTGGCCCTTAGATCCCTTCTTAATCTAAGAATTTATGTCACCATGACAATTTTTAGACAAACCAGTGAACATGTGTGGATAAAATGTGTACCACAGCCAAGATAATTAGGTGAACAAAAGGCTGATTATCTGACTGGATTCAGGAAAGAGGCCATTTACACAGTATTCCCATGGTGGATGATTGAGGCAAACTCTGTCCAAATGGCAGCCATAGATAATCTGGTTCAGGCCAGTGCGATAAACTGAATCATCAGGAAACACTTGTTTATCCAGAATGCTTTGGGAATGGAGGTCTTCTAAGGTACTGAATGCTGTTGTTAATTGAGTTACCATACATACCACATGCCACATGTGGGTCAATACATTTAAAGAATTAAGATTTAACAAAATATGTCTAATAACACCAAAAATATAACTGACTTTATGGAACACTTCAGAGTTTGCAAAGCACATTTATATATACGTTCACTCATCTGATCGTCATAACAACCCTGTGAGGTGGGTACTACATGGAATATTATCTACTATTTTTACTAGAAACTAGAGCCAGGGAAGGTAAATGATTTATCTATGGTTACACAATGAGCATGAATCAGAGGCTGGATGGGAAACAAGGTTTCTCCTGACTGCAAGCCCAGCACTATGCTCTCTTTCTCACTGCTCCACACAATGCCGACCATGACTGACTCTCTTTGAACACTCAGAACCTTGCAGTACCTCAAGGCCATCATTATGAACATTGATTATTACTGGACAGAGCCACCGAGTAATAGATTCTAGTCCTTCGTGTACATTTGGTAATTTTAATTTTGCGTAAATAAGAGTTGACTTTAGAGAAGAAACTTTTTGTTGTATCGTCAGTGTTTATCTCAAGGGTATAACTGTGTTCTTCCCTTCTTTCTGAATCTATTGCTCTTAATAATCTCAAATCAGTGGCACCGTAATGAAGAATTTGGCTACTGATACTCATTATCTTTAGGTAAACTGGCCTGATTGTTAAGTAAACAAAACATTCTCATAACACCTTGTGGGGGAGGGGAATGACAAGAACTGTTACCAAATGGGAGCGACCAAAACACAAAGAAAAGTGTCACAACACCACAGGCAAAAAGAAGAAACAAAATCCTCATTCTACTGATGCCTGACAGAAGGCATTTTCATTAGGTCCTTACCCCAGCAGCCAGAGAATGGGCCTTGGGCGCCTGGCATCTTGTCCTTATGGGTCAGTTCCTTGTCAGTCGTCTCATCAACATCACAATCCTCTATCCCCTCCTCATGGTCCCGGTTGTCTGGTTCCTCAGTGTCAACACTGCTGTCCCTTGGTAGAGAAGTATCCCAAGTTTTTCCTGAGGTGTCAGGATAGGAAGCAGAGGTGTGGGTGCTCAGTAGGGTGGCCATCTCCCCATAAAAGGCACATGACTCCGGGGCTCTTCCAGTCTTCGCTTTCCGGTAACTCGTCTGGAGGTTTTTGAATCTGTAGCGGCATTGCTCCAATGTCCGAAGGAAACCCCGCTCCCGCAGCCGTTCAGCTACCGCTCTGTATACTTGCCGGTTTCGACGACGGGACTGGAGTTTTTCTGAGAACTGAGGTTCACCAAGGATTGCAAGAAATGCCATGGTTTCCTCATAGCTCCAGAGGACTCCAGAAACTTTTGTGTCTGCTCCATCACACTGTTTCTGTTCCTCCCAACTTTTCACTTCTTTCCTAGCAAATGCTGGGCCAGACCTTACTTGTTCTTCATTGGTGTGGGTGTCTCTTGAATTCTCTGTTTCCTCAGAGCACTGGAGATTTGGGTCCCCTGGGTCCCTTCCTTGCTGTATTGGCAAAGTGATGTTGGACATGGGAACTGGAAACTCTGCTGATAAGAAAGCAAACAAGGCATAAACAGTACATGATCATTACAAAGCTGTTCTTGGAATTCAATGGGATATATCGGGGACATTCCTAGGGAATGACCAAGAGACCACTATGTGATCCTAAACATTCTCCTTCAAGTCACTGAGAGAGGAGAATAAGGAGACTTAGTGATTTGGTCACAGTGAGAGTTTCACAGATTTGTATGAGCTCACAGATCAGAGCCTCATCCTGGGGAGAAGAGAGAATCAGGGAATATTAGGTAGGGCCAGAAGAGATTGTGAGAATGATTTAACTTAACCACCTCATTTTACAGATGGGGAAACTGAGAGCCAGAAAAGTTCAGTAACTTTAATGGCCGAGCCAAGACTTAAAATTAGCTTAAAAAATAAGCTGGTTTGGGAGTGATTTGTTAGAAGCCAAAGAATATATTTAAGTTGTAAGGAGAAATCAGAAGACACCTTTAAGAAATTCAACTCTTCTGTCCATCAGGGAACTCCTTTCATGAGCAAGGAATGCACAAACTCTTAAGATACAAAGTACAAAGAAAGCAAGCCAACTATACAAAGCTATATGGAACAATCATATATAACATGATTATATATAATATGAATAATAAATTGCTTGAACACAGGGGCTCACAAGCAATTCAAGGAATTACAGAAGGTCAAAACTGGAAGAGAACTTAAAGATCATCTGGTTCAAAGTTTTCATTTTACAAATAAAGAAACTAAGTCTTGGAAAGAAGTGATTTGCTCCAGGTTACATCACTAAGAAGTGGCAGCTGGGATCTGAATCCAAGTTTCCAAGGCTCTCCCCCTCCGTCATTTTGCTTTCCGTTGAGGCAAAATCACATCATTTCACCATTTAAGCTGGACCGGATTGTCAAGCTCCCATGCTAGAAAGAGTCAATCTAGACCCATCTAAGAGCAGGTGCTTTTTACTTCAGAAGATTTCAACCTCTTTACACCCAACCAGATGGCCTTTCTGAGTTGTTGTGGACCAAAGAATACATCAACTAGTGGCCAACCTTCTAGTAACGAGTCTACCTGAACTTAGCCATGTGAGCCTCAGACAACAGAAACCTAGTATGTCATCTGGCCCATTCCTGAAGCAGACCAGAGCTTGTACTCTACTGGTACAGTTTTCAAAAGTCCAGAGTCATGTGTACACCACTGTGAGGCAGGACTTTAGTAGTGAAAGAACAGGCCACCAACAAAATAAGCCTGCATCACAAAATTTCTCGGGGTAGAGGCTAAGAGTATGCTGAGTTCAAAACTATTTTCCTCTGCCCCTTTTCTCATTCTTTATCTTGTATCTGTGAGCAAGAAAGAGATGTTGGGAAAGGAAAACATAATCTAAACTGACCATCAAAAAAAGCGTCAGGAGAGCAGAGGCATAGAAAGTGAACTTGAAGAGAACTGCCTGGGGAGCCAGGTGGCGGTGGACCAACTGAAGGGCAATGGAGGTGCTCTGGGTCATACAGCTCTTCTATGAAGTTGATAGCCAACATGATGAAGACTGAAAGTTGATGGTTCTACTATTGGGAGTACAACACACAAGGGCAGCAAAGTTCTTTTCTCCCTCTGCTCAACACCTGGGAATCCCACAATAGAACAAGGAAGTAAGGGCTACAGAGAAAAGGAAAAACTTAAAAGACATGAAAACTCTGAAGTCTGTGGAATGTGCTTCTAAGGAGAACTTCAACAAGTGGAGACATGGGGCGATTTTAAGGGCAAAGAACAAGTTAGACGCAGTGCTTCTTAAACTGTGGGTCATGACCCCATATGGGGTCGTGAAAAATCTGGCAACAGTAAAAGGTTTCTGAATGCTTTAAGGACCAAAAACTAATTCAAAATCAAATGTGTAATGAATTCAAGGTATTTCTGGCAGTGCTAGCCCATGCTGCATCGCACAACCTCACTCCAGCCTTGGATCTGAACACACAGCATGTGCACTTTGCACTGAGCATGCCCTCAGACCATGCAATGCCAGCAGATGCTGCTGAAACTTGAAAAGGGGTCGCAAGTGGAAAAAACTGAAGAAGTCCTGAGCTAGAGGGTCTTTGGAGAGCCCTCCTAGTCTTGTGCTGCTATTATAGACATCCTTGAAAACCAAAGGCCATTCACTTTAACACTCACAAGGCACTGGGCTCAGTGAGGTGGACACCCTCAGAAGTCTCAGGGAGTTATGAGTTGTAGACACCTGAAAACTTCTCATTTATGAGGGAAATAAGTTCTTACCCAGCAAGAGCTCATTCCCACAATCCTCTCCCTCGATGTCCTTGCAGAGGTCCTGAGCAGGGTTTCCATGGCCTGGGGCTTCCTGTGAGAGGTATAAGGGCACATCCTCAAATGTCACTGAGCCATAGGCCTCCCAGTCAGGACTCAGAGCTCACAGGCATTTCATATTGCCTGATTAATGCAACAGGGACAGCTGAGGTCCAAAGGGAGGAATTCAGGAAAAATAATTGGTGGGGTTGAAGATCATCAAGTGTGGGCTTTTTGTCTAGGGAGGCAATGTTAGAGAACAGGGGAACTGTCAACAGGGTGGACCTAGTCTCCAAGGTACAAACATTTCAGGAAAGAAAAGCAAACCACAGCTTACCTGGGACTCAGCTACCATCTTGTAGTCACTAATGCTTTTCATCTTAGGAAGGGCAGAAACCTGAGGAGCCAGGCTGTCTAAGAAGAAAATGGAGCTGTGTAAGTCCCAGTTATTTTCCAGATGGCCACATTAATATTTTTTTTTTTGAAGACACATCAGTTCTGAGCATCTGCTGCTCTGAATCCAATTAAGACTATCCTTGTAGCTAATACTGATGACTCTCTATTTGGTCCTATCATTCTTCAAGTTCAATGACTTTATGCACTTGACCAAAACTGACATGCTCTATGCATTAGATGGTCGCCCTGTTCTGGAGCTCCTTGCTCCCCAAGGTCTGGTTGTCCTGATTCTCTGGCCTCAGTGGGGATTGAGAGAGGGAGAGTCATCTTCAGAAGGCCAGGACAAAAATGCCAGTCATACATGAGGGTAATCACTCATAGGAACAAAGACAGCATCCTCTTGGGTGATGACACTTGGTCAGTGACAGGAAGGCTAGATCTGTGTGTTCTCCCCCTCAGCACCTCCTCCCCAGTCCCCCCTCCACCTTCTTCTCCAAACCATGGATCCCTCTATCTAGCATAGGCTACTCCCCAAGCCATCTTAGAATACATTCTCTGCTTCTCACCACTCTTGTGCAGGGGCTTGGGCTCCTCCATAGGGCTCAGTTGCTCCAGTGGTTCCCAGTAGGGCCTCTGCATTCTCTTCTCCTGGGACGCTCCCTCTGGCTTGATCTCTGCTGAACCTAACTGGAAGCTTCGTGACTCCTGTGCTGTACCCAAGGGTGCTGGCAATTCAGAAAGCACTTCCTGTCCCTGTATACAAAAGGCGACCTGGCGATAGCATACTTCCCACCACTGAAGCTCTTGTGGTCAGGGGATTCTTGGTGAAATCAAAGTGAAAACCCCCATAAGGAGACAGAGGAACCCAGGACGGAGGAAGAATAATTAAAGTGGCAATGATGCTCGCTGTGACCGCCGCCCAGTGCTTTACAGCTGACATACACCACTTTACCTGTTGTTACCTCGTTTAATACCCACAATAATCCTGGGAGATAGGTAGAGCAACAACTATTGTTCCCACTCTACAGAGGAGGATACTAAGGCTTGGGGCTGCTAAATGATTTGCCCAGAGTTGCCCACTACTAAACAGAAGCATTGGAACTCAAACCCAAGTCTTCGGACTCCAAATCCAAAGATCCGCCCACTACACCACACTGCCTCTTTAATCAAATCTATTTTATTCTGAGGAAAGCAATTTGTCATCTAGAGCTTTTAAAGAAAGAGAAATCAGGTCTAGGGTAGGCGGGTGCCCTAAAATCAAGTTTTCAATCCTTTGCATTCCTGTCCAGTAATCAGGTAATCAAAAATCCTTGTTGAGCACTTACAGCATGAGCAAGGTACTGTGTTAGGCGTCATGGAGGGAGAAAAAAGATATGCTCATTGCCCTCAAAGAGCTCAGTTGCCTTAAAGAGACTGGACATATGCATATATGCATATATAATAACACACTCTCAGGCACAATATACTAAGTGCCAGACAAGTGGTGCCAACACCGTATGTTATAGGTGCTCAGAGAAGGGGGAGATGATATCTGGCCGAGGTAGTCAAGGGAGACTTCAAGGGGGAAGATCTGAATCGGGCCTTGAAGGATGGGTATCGTGACAGTCAGACAGAAGGTCATGGGTATCCTTGGGCGGGGAGGCCAGTATGAACAAAGGCCCCAGAGGCTTTTAAAGCATGAGCCATATTTAGCGGACAGTATACTGACCACTTTGGCCGGAGTATAGGACATATGTAAAAGAGTAGGGAAGTCTGGGAAACCTAGATCGGGGGCTGACTGTGAGGGATCTTGAAGCTGCAGGCTGATTTTATCATGTTGGCAATGGGGGAGTTGCTGCTTGGGAGGGGCATGAAACCCTAAACTATTATGACATAGGCCACTCCCAAGCAGGTACATCATGTATAGGTCCTGCCTATATATACCTGGTACCCAACACACTGCTAAATGTCATAGGCTGAATTGGGTCCTGTGTCTTCACCTCATAAGGCCAAACTGGAGTGGTCAGATCCGAGATTGCCCTGGGAGTCCATCCTGGAGTAGCCCAGGATTAACCTTTGTTGGGAACACTCTACAGAGGACAGGGTGACTATGAAGCGTCTCTGGATACTTTAGTTTCGGTAATGGTGGGACTGGAAGAGATAGAACAAAATCAGATCCAAACTTGCTGATCAAGGGGATGGCCTAGGCAGAGGAGAGCCAACAACGCAGTAAGCCCTAGGGAAACTTTCTAGAGTTGGCTGTTCTCACTGCTACCAGTACTATTGTCTCACAGTCCCAAGATTGAACACGCCTCCTACAATGTCACTTTCAAATAAGGACAATTTAGAGTTGCTCTGAGCCCTTCTATACACCTTGGTCTGGATTCATAACTATATGAAACTTTAAAGCAAGGGGAGAAGACTAAACGTCAGTAACTAAGCCAGTAACTCTAAGACATCTGTGAGACTTCTTTTGGATCTGGGTATATGCCATGGGACTCACAATTAATATAAATTAAGAACCGAAATTATTCTTAGGTACAATTCAGATATCTAGAGGACTCAAAGTCTGTCCTCCCCAAGGATCTGAAGCCCTTCTTTCAGAGGGAAAGGCAAAGGCCCTGATCTTAATGATCTCTACAGCATAAAATGCCATGACCCCCAAATTCATTTTGGCCAAGACAACTCTAAAAGAACAAAGCATACATTGAGTCATTAAAAATTTGTAGTCCAAAACTTCCCAATAGGCAACAAGGTAAGGATAAGAATGGAAAAGGTCATAGATCATAGATTTAGTACTGAAAGAGACCCTAGAGGTCATCTAACTCAGGTCACTCATTTTGTACTCAGTAGGTACTGAAGCATATTCATTTTATAGAAAAAGAAAATGAAGCTTACTTGGAAGATCCAGGATTTGAACTCAAATCTAGCACTCTTCCCAACCACATTTAGTTTTCACAACAATCAATCAAGCCTTAATTAAGGACCTACTAGGGCCTAGGCATAAAATTAATTAGGACAAGTGGGAAGGGACCTCGTTGATATTCCTAGAACTTAGTATGGGAGGTCAGGCAGACTATGGGATACAGGATGACTCAAAAAGTATTAGAATTACTGCTGGGGACCCTTGTGCTTTCACTAACCAAAAAATACAGTGCTAAGTGTGAGAATAGTACGCTACATTTAGCAGTCATTGCCATGAAAGTGACCACTTTGCAATATATCTAAGGTGTTTATAAAATATGTCTGGGAAAGAAATTGAGCTTCCTATGAAGTGAGTCCGTGGCATTCTGCTTTCCATGTCAGAAATTTAAGGTCAGAGAAAATGGGCCTGAGGGATGCACAGGTACGAGAGTTTAAGGATGTATGGACAAACAAGTATTTCAAGAGTAATCCTTTAGGTGCAATAAATATTTCTATTAGCAATAAATACAATATAATGTTTACTGTATCTTTAGGAGTGAGGCTAGTCCAATTAAAATGTGAGTAGAGAAGGGAGAAATCAAGGTCCATTTGCCAGGACAGAATGCAAGATTATCTTATAATTCTTCAAATGAATGGAGAAATGATGTATCTTTGATGAACTGTGATACATTAAACAAAATGTGTGTGACTGTATCTTTGTGCATGTGTAAATGTGGAATTCTCTCTGCAGGGTTTCCTGGAAGAAATTATTAAATAGCATTCCCATGAATTAAGGCCCGGCCATGTTTTCACTATCTTCTACCAAGAAATAGCTTCCTTCCCCCTCTCCAAATCCTATTCTAACCCTTCAAGGCCCAACTGAAGTGCCACCTCCTCCATGGAATCTTTCCTAACTATGTAGTAGCCTCCTGTTCTTTTCTTCAAATTCTTAGTCTGTGTCCAGTCAGTAAAAATGCTTTAGCAGTTAACTGACATCTGTTTGATGTTTTGTCTTCTTTTGCCAACTTGATCATAAGTTCCTTGAGGACAGGTATTCATTCCTAGACTTCTTTTGTATCCCCCACAATGTCTAGTGGGTGCTCAATAAGTATTTTTTAACTAATTAGTTCAATAGTATTTTTGTTTGTTTGTTTTTCTCTATCTGGTGAAGGAAGTCTAGTCAAAAGTGTTGTATCACCTAGACCCCCACATAAGAGAACTGAAGGTATGTATATTATCTAAATTAAAAGCTAGGAGCTCATGCATGGCCCACTTCAGGGAACCAGGTAATCTCTCAAGAGAATACCTAGGCTCCTGTGTTTCTCAATTTAACTTTAGTTTGATTATTCTGTCACCAGGACAATATAACTCTAATTCAAAAGCAAACTGTGCCTAAGCCCCATCCAGGATAACTTTGGCTCTTCAAATCTAGAGGCTAAGGTAACAGATTCCAAGTTATTGGGCTGAGGGGCAGAGGTTATCCAGAACTGAGGGTCATGGCTACGGAAGGTACTATGGTGGGCACAGAAAATATGTACTTACACAATGATTAAAACTAAAGGCACCCCCATGATACAGCAAAGACGCTTGAACTGAAACTTCAACAGAGAGAGAAGGAAAATCCCAAGATTTTCTACTGCCCCACCTACTGCTCAATTGCGCTGTCTTTCCTAAAAATAATACCTTGAATTTCCTTTCTAATTGTTGTTGCATCCTCACTCATTTTGTATTTAGAACAACCCTCTGAGGACAGAGCTAGCATCCTCATTTCACAAATGAAGAAAATGAGGCTCAGAGAAATGGAGTGCCTTGCCCAGTTGGCTTGAGGTTGAGCTGGGATTGGCACCCACATCTCCCACTTCCTAGAGCAATGCTCTTTTCATTAGCGCATGCCGCTCTCACCCGCTGATCTGGTCTCTTGGGCTTTTTCTGCCAAGCCTCCACCAGGGTCACTGCCTGCTCTGTGTTCTTGGGATGATGGTCCCACACCCAGGCCTGCAGCTCCTCTGGCAAGATGCTCAGGAACTGCTCCAGGACCAGGAGTTCCAGAATCTGCTCCTTTGTCCGTTTCTCTGGCTTCAGCCACAGACGGCAGAGCTCTTGGAGGCGGAAGAGCACTTCATGAGGCTGAGCGGACGGTTCGTACTGGAACTGCCTGAAGTGCTGGTGGGAGGCTTCAGAGTCAGGGTCATATCCCCAGAGATTAGGGTCCTGACCCAAGCAGGAATTTTCCTCCAGTTTCACTAATAGGAACTCCTCCTGATATGATGGGGCAAGAACAGCGGCCATTGTTTGTCTTGGGGGGAGATCAGCCTTGCTCCAGAGCAGGCCTGAATTCTAAGACTCACATCTCTGTTTGTCTGAAAAATCACTTGGAGGTGCTCCTGTAAGACATGGTGGGGGGAGGGGGGAAGGGGAACAAGGAGGGGTGAGATAGAGAGAAAGAGAGGACTGAGCAGGAGAAAAACAGGAAAACAGAAACCTAATTATCAGGTCCCTTAAGAGTTCCTCTGTATTTGGTACAAATTATTTGCCTTGTATTTATTACATTTGAAGCAAATGAACATTAATAATATACTTTAGTAAGATAGACAAATAAAGTATTTGAAAATAATTTGAAAACAGATTCACAATTATTTACAGTATCAAAGACTAAACAGGATGGAATATACAGTGTACCTATGGGAATTCAGTTATTGTTCAGTTGTTTTTCAGTCACATCTGACTCTGTGTGACCCCATTCTGTGGTTTTCTTGGCAAAGATACTGGAGTGGTTTGCCATTTCCTTCTCCAGCTCATTTTACAGATAAGGGAACTGAGGCAAACAGGTTAAGTGACTTGTCCAGGGTCACACAGCTAGTAAGTGTCTGAAGCTAAATTTGAACTTAGTATTTTCTGACTCCAGTAGACAGGTTGGCCTCAAAACATGTTATATATATTGTCTGAAATTGTGTATTGAAAAAAAAAGGTGTTGATTTTATTTGAGATGAATCGGCCTGCTTTGCTGCTGTTCTCTGTATATGAGATTCCATCTTCCCCTCAGGTGTCATTGCATAGACTGTCCCCCATGCCCAGAACATTCTTTCTCACCCTGGAATCCCTAATTCCTTTCAAGGATCAGCTCACGTGCTGCCTCTTTCAAGAGATCTTTCCTGATTTTTTCAATTGTCAGTGCTCCCCCACTGGATGAAACAGATCACTTTGTATTTAATTATCTATGTACATGTTGTTTCTCACCTATAGAATGTAAGTTATTTGTGATATTACATGAAACAGAGACTGCATCTGCAGTGCCTGGCACACAGCAGGTGCTTAATAAGGGCTTGTTGAACTAACTTGGCGAGTGAGTTCCGAAGATGCTTTCTCTCATCTCTTCTTAGAAAATTTGACTCTCCTGCCCTATGAAGTTGAAAGGCTATGAACCGTGAGAATAGTCAAGTCTGCTCAGTTATTCTGAGTGCACATAAGGAAAGTACGTCATCAGTGGTCAGAAGGTATGAACAATTTTGAAAAGAAGAATGGTGAATTAGTAACAACTATATGAAGAACTGCTCACAGTCACTAGTAAGAGAGAGGCAAATCAAAACAACTTTGAGGTTTGACTTCATATCTGAACATCGTCAGTGCCGGAAGAGTTGTGGAAAAGTAGGCACACAAATACACTGCTGGTGGAGCTGTGATTGGTCCAACTATTCTGTAAAGCAATTTATGATTATGCTGAGAAAGTAACTCAAAGTATCTAATTTCACTAAAAATAAAACCTTTGGCCCAGAGATTCCCCACTCACTGCAAGGCATATGCCTCCAAAATGTCAGTGATAAAATGGTCCCAGATACAACAAAACATTTATAGCAGCTCTTTTTGTAGTAGTAAAGAACAGAAGATGCTCATCAACTGGGGAAGAGCGAAACAAGTTCTGACAGAGGAATGTAATGGAATATTAATTAGATGTAAGAAATAATGACTCTAACAACTACAGAGAAGCTTGAGAAAACTCACACGGCCTAATGCGAAAGGAAGCAGATGCAGGAATACAACATAACCCAGTGATTATAACAACATAAATGGAAATAATTATGACTAAGCTTGGCCCCAAAGAGATATGAAAATGCACCTTGCTCCCAGGACACAGCCTAGGAATGTAAGTCTTGGTCAATGTAGTTGATAGTTTTGGTTCTATTGTCACTACCCCACCCCACTCCCTTTTAATTGGGCAGTTAGGTGGTGCAGTGCATAGGGAGCTAGGCCTCAGATACTTACCAGCTTCCTGACCCTGGGCAAGTCATTAACCTCTGTTTGCCTCAGTTCCTCATTTGTAAAAACAGGAATAATAATAGCACCTCTCAGGGTTGTTGTGATGATCGAATGGGATGCTATTTTTAAAGTGTTTAGCCCAGTGCCTGGCACACAGTAAATAGTTTATTATTATTATTGGTTATAAAACGGCTTTCTGGGAGGGAAAAGGGAGTATTATTTTGGGAAATGAAGGTGATATAAAAACAAATAATACCAATACAAAAAGATTGTTGAAAGTTATCTCTGGGATAACAGAGACCTAAGTCAGAAAAAAAAAAACTTTAAAGAATTAAATAAATACCGGGATATCTACTTAGCTAGAAAAAAGGAACTGAGCTCAATTCCAGAAGAGTCAGACAGCACTGACTGCTCAACACTAACACTGACCCTGGAGGAGCCACCATGGTCTCTATCCTTAAGCACTGATAGGTTAGTAGAGGGTGATAAAATCCACATAAATACAAACTGTACAAATGTAAGTAACAAGATAACAACAGTAATTCATGTTTCTATAGCTTTTTCACATTTGTAAAACACCTTCCTTACAACCACCCTTTGAGGGTAGATAGCGCCAGTATCAGCCCTATTTTCCAAGTGAGGAGAGTGTATGCGCCCCAAGAGATGAATTCTGCATAGTATACTTAGAGACATACATAGATGCACACAGTAACTATGACTGCACAGGCATGATTGCAGGTGGAGGAAGGAAGCGCAGAGAGCGTGGGAACTGGAGTCAGGTCATTAAGCTGGAGAGAAGGTCTCCGGGAAGATACTGAACTTGAAGAAGGATTCTGGTGGGGAAGGGTTCGGTTGGGCATTCTAGGCAGAAAGGGTCATACTACTCTTGTCTCAGAAGCAGAAGGCGAGGGAAGAGAAAGAAGTCCTGCTAGCCAGATTGAATACTATACACCGAGGGGTTATAGGAAATGAGGGTACTCAATTAACGGAAGGCCTGAGCAGCAGAGGGCTTTAAGTTCCACTATGAGGCATTCTAATTTGCTCAAAGGAGTAACTGGGTCCCATACGAGAATCCTAACATGGGAGTGACATACTAAATTATAATAAAGAGAATCCTTACAGATTTATAAGGGAAAGGGGGAGAGACAGGGAGCCTGGGAGAGAGGTTGTTCAAGTAACAATAAAAGCAGTTGACATTTAGAGAGCACTTTAAGGTGTACAAAGTACTTTATATACACTCTCTCATCGGATACTCACAACAGCCCGTAGGTGCTGTATTATCACCATTTTACAGAGATGAAAACCAAGGCTCTGTTGCCCAGGGTCAGATATAGCTAGCATGTCTTTGGTGGGAGTGTGGTGGGAGGTGGAAGGAAGCTAGCACCCTGTTTGAGGGCCATATTTCATTTTAAAATATTTCACTTCATACGAAATGGAAAAAGTTACATAACCAGAATCTAATTTAGAAAAATAAACAAAAGAACAAGGTGACAGACTAGTGTGAGGGTCAAAGGCTTGAGTGAAGGTAAAGATAATACCTGAGAGATTTAAGAAGAGTTGGGATGAGGACGGGGGGTTGTTCAGGAGGGGGGGTCATTAACTAGGGGAGAAGGAAGGAGAAAGAGACATACTGAAGAGTGTGGACAGATCCATCCTCTGAACCACCCACTGGAGAGACTCTGTGGCAATTTTCATCTTGAGTTTGCAGAACAGAACAATTCAATTCAAATTTCCCTTGACAAAAAAATGAATTAAGTGATTCCTTGTGTTAAGCACTATATTCTAAACTGGAAGAAATACAAAGTTCAGATAAAACATGAGCCATGTCCTCATAGAGACTGCAATCTAAAAAGGAGGTACAGTACAAACAGAACCAATATTAAATAATACACTGTCATTACATAAGATAGATGCAAGCAAAATGCTGTGTGAGGTTCAATGGAGGAAAGAGTATTATCAATAGGGGGCTAGAGAAATTAAGGAATGTTTTCTGGAGAAGTGGCATTCAAGTTAGACTTTAAAGGACAGCTAAAAATCCAACAGGCAATGGGGGAAGGGAGGACAATTCCCAGAATAGGAAACAGCTTAAGCAAAGGTTCAGAGGTAAGAAAAGGCAAAGCATGAGTCCAGTTTGGAGTCCTGAGAACATGGGAAATGTAATGATAAGGTTGGGTGGTGCCAGAGCATGGATGGCTTTGAATGTCAGGATTCAGAAGTCTAAACTTGATCCACTAGAACAAGGGAGGGGAACTTGCAGCCTAAGGCCACGTGTGGCCCTCTGACTGAATTCAACCTTCACAGAACAAATCCCCTTAATAAAAGGATCTGTTCTGTAAAACTTGGACTCAGTCAGAAGGCCACACGCAAGGACCTAGAAAGCCATGTGCAGCTTCGAGGCTACAGGTTCCCCACCCCTGCACTAGGACATAACTAGGTTTCTGAGCACCAAAATGATATTAGATTTATGCGTTAGTGGCAAGAAGGCTAGACTGGTAACAGGGGAGGAAGGAAGGCAGGGAAATGAGTAGGTAGTTAAAAAGAGAAGGAATGAGAAATGTTTGGTCTGGAGAAGAAAAGACTGAGGGAGGGCAGGATAAAAGAAAAAAATGTCCAATAATTAGAGCTACCCCAGAGTAAACTGGGCTGCATTAGGAAGTGGTGGCCTACTGCTCACCGCAGACTTCAACTGGATACTGTAGTATCACTTGTGGGGAGTGCTGTTCAGGAGTGGGTTGGAAGAGATGATTTCTAAGGTCCCTCCAGGTCTGAGATTATATGATTCTATGACCCCTTAGAAGTCAATAGGTGAGTAGTAATGAGGGCCTCTACACTTAGGTTCTGGCAGTGGAAATAAGGAGGGATGGTTAAAGGAGATAATGAAGAAGTAGAATTAATAGGATTTGGCAAGTAACTGCTTAGATAGGAGCAGGGCCTGGAACTGTGGTTTCTTAGCTTATAGGACACTCCTGGTGAAGAAACTCTCAGTACCAGTTCAGATTGGCACCTTTTCTCCTTCCTCCAGTCTTAGAGGGCTGCCTGAAGCACTAAGAAGTTTAAGTGACTTGCCCAAGTATAGCAGTATAGCTAGTATATTAGTATACATATATAATATATATATGTGCTGCTATACTAGCTATACTGCTATACTTGGGCAAGTCACTTAAACCTCTTAGTATATATATATACACACATATATACACATACATACATACATATATGTATATATATATATGTATATATAGATATATAAAATAATAGAGCCAGTATAGAAGAAATGGCCCTTGAACTCAGGGTATTCCTAGTCTTGAGGCCAGCTCTGTATCCACTAACATGAGAAAGGACACTAGGATTTTGTATGTGGGGGTCTAGGTAAACTGTGGGGTCTTTGACAGAAATAGTGAAGTCAGAAGGAGGTACAGATCTTTTGGGGAAAGATGAGAAGCTGGACTTTAGACATACTTAGTTTAAGATAATAGGAGGATATCCAAGCGGAGATTTTATCTAGGCAGTTTAAGATGTAACTCTAGAATTCATCTAGGCTGGAGAGAAATTTAGGAGTTCTCTTCATAGGTTTGATCACTGAAGCCCTGAAAGCTAATTAGGTTGCTGAGTGAGAGAATATAGAAAGAAAAGAGCCAATGGTGGAAGTTGGGGAAATATTAAAGAGTAGATAGAGGATGATAAATCAGCAGAGACAGGGAAACAGCAGTTTGAAAAGCCAAAGGAGGACAGAGTATCTACTAGGAGGGAAGTGGTGAACAATGTTAAATGCTACAGAGAGGTCAAGGATAATGATTGAAAAAAAAAGTCATTGAATTTGGTAATTAGGTCACTGGTGACCTTCAGAAAAGTAGAGACAGAAACCAGATTGCAAGAAGCTGAGAAAAGAGTGAGCGTTAAGAAAGAAGAAGTAAGTAGAGATTTTTTTTTCCCCCAAAAAGCTTGTCTGAGAGAGAGAAGAGATGGGTGACTTTGGAAGGATTCAGTAGAAGAATTAACAGAAGATTGTTTTTAAGAATGGGGAGACCTGAGCATGCTTGCTTCTTGAATGAATAGATGGGAAGGGGCCAGTGGAAGAAAGATTCAATGTGAGAGAAAGGAGGAAGGGAAGGACGGAGAGTGATGGAGGATGAAGGAGGAAGGGAGGGAGGGAGGAAGGAAGGAAGAAAGGAGGAATAGGAGGAATGGAAGGCATAAAGGAAAGAAGGGAGAAATAAAGGAAGGAAGGAGGAACAGAGGGAAGAAAGGAAGAAAAAAAGAAGGAAGGAGGAATGGAAGGAAGAAAGAAAAAAAGAAAGTTAAGAAGAAAGAAAAGGAATGATGGTTGAGACAAGGTCCTGGAAGAGATAGAGAGGATGAAACCAAGGGCACTGATATGGTCTTAGCAAAGAAAGCCAGATTGGCACAGTGAGTAGAAAGGCAGCCTTGAAGTCAGTTAGATTTAGGTTCCAGTACTGCCCCTACCATCTTTGACCACAGGCAAATTACTTAACCTTGTAGCATTCCAGGTAACTCCCTAAGGCTGTGTTACAAAAGGGGTTGCCAACCAAAAAGGAATAGGGTTACTTTTGAGAAAAAAGAAGAGAGAATGTGTTATGATGCTAAGATTTAAAGAATGAATGAGGAAAACTGAGGGAACTCTGGGAACATGACCTTAATCTACTCAGTAAAAT